GGTTTGACCCCAGATTCATTCTGTGAACTTAAATAGGCAGCAGAGGTGCTTCAAGCTTTACAGTGATCATGGTTGTTGATTTATATGCGATTTTCATTCATTTCCATTTCCATCTGCAGCAGTTTCTAATGAATCGACCTACGGGTTCCATCCATCCATCCATCTCACCCATCCCTAAGCTGAGCAGCCTGTTACATTGGGCAGTTTCGCATAGGAGCGTGGTAATTTCTAGATCTTAAAATAATGAAATATTTCTTATAAAAGTATTTTTAAATTATATGACATTTTCATTAGTAATCCATTGGTCTATTTAAATCAGTGTGGGTATCATTTATGTTCAATTTAAGCCGAAAAACCGAAAAAGGAGAAGCACACAAGTGAAGGCGATCATGGGATGAAAGAGAAGTCGAAGGAGGAGAAAAAACATGCCGAAAAGAAGCCGAAAGCTAGTCATGGGGATGAAGAGGAACCAGAATCTTTCGAACCGAGAGAAAAAGATCCCTTCGCGGGACTGCCAAAGAGGTAGAGATGTGTCTTTTCGTTACAGAGCAGCTCTTGCATCGCTCATCGTTTATTCACATTTTTAGCACCTTTGACCTAGACGCCTTCAAACGTGTTTACAGCAACGAAGACACGTTGACAAAGGCGGTCCCGTATTTCTGGGAACATTTCGACCCTGCCAACTACAGCATATGGTATTGCGAATACAAGTACCCAAGCGAATTGGCAAAGATTTACATGAGTTGCAACCTCATCACTGGTAATTTTTTTCTTTCTCGAAAGCTGTGACATCTGACGGTGTGCTTTTTGTTACTCTGCTTCTGGACTTCAGGTGTGTTATTGAACGAAAATATCGGTTTTGTGGTCACTTATAATGCTGGGGTCAGATCCGTCATAGTTTACATAAAATAGGAAGGTATGCTTGTAAATATAGGGGTATCGACCTTCCTTACACTTTCACGATTATAGAGCCCTTCATTTCATGAAATTAATAATGGGGCGTTGATCTCTGTTTCCGTTTTTTTTCCCGTTGAACAGCATCTATATGCGTAGTG